TAGAATTAAATAGGATTCCGTAGTGCCCGGTTCATACTTCTTCCCCTACTCTTGAACAGGTATATAGGCTCATATCTTGTTTCTTGTTTACGTAGTGGTTTCCGGTTCTTTCATTTTTCTCAGTGCTTAATAGTGGTGCTGCCATGAATTTATGTGACCTGTGTTGATGATGGCGGCATCTCTTCATACTGAGCATACAGGGATGGCAGTTTTATGATTGCTGTTTCTGACTGGTAGTTAGGAGCCTGAACTCTTGCTCTGATCAATATTTACATAATATCGGTGTTCGTGCTCTGCTATGTCGCACATGGAAGGTTGTCGCTGCAAGCTCCTGCGGTGGGCAACCCCGAATCCACACTATGTTGCAGTCTGTGCTAGTTAATTTCCTGCACATGTTGCATTAGACAACCGACAGTTACTAGTACCCTAGGCCTTCCTTGCCAAAACAACACTCAATGACTATAGATACCAAAAATATAAAATTAAACCAGCTCAACACAAATCCACTAAACATTCAACTGACATTCTTCGTATTCGTACCAACTTCTTCAGTGTGAAATTGTTCCTCTTCGAAACGTCTCTAGATCTCTGCAAAACTAATCTTAAATCTTCATTTCCATCCCCTGATTTCACGATTCCTGGCTATCTTCCTTTCCTTAGGAAGCACTCTAATGTCCGTTTGCATGACCTGGGAGTTTATATCCGCGAACACATCCCGCTTGATAAGAATCCCGCTTTTGAATTTCCCCACCACTCTCACATGTGTTTTTGTCTCTCTCTACTTAAGTCAGTCAGCTATCTCTTCTTTCTCTACTGTCTCCCTTCCTCTCATGAATTTTGCTTCCTTGATATTTCTGAAAAAATTGACAAGGCCATATCCTTACGCACGTTTGTTTTTGGAGACTTTATGCCGAATATCAAAAACCTTAACTTCTCAATCACTTGAACTCTCACGCAAATAGGGGACTTCACACGCGTTTTGCCGGTAACCCTGAGGGAAGCACTCCTCTTCTTGATCTGTTTTCACCTCTATCCATGACTTATACGTCCTATACATCTCTGCCCTCTTGCCAACTCTGATCATGCGGTAAATACGTAAACGTCTTCAACCTTGTACCAGCGAAGAACTTCATTCCAACTGCATATTCTTCTGATACCAGCCAGCGAATTGAGACCGTTTCCTGACTACCTTCGTGCCGTCGCATAGAATCCAGTTGATAATGATCTTGTTCATAAATGCTCGTTTGAAGTCACCTCCTTTGTGAAAGCCGACATCTATGTGTTAATGCAAACAAGGAATTACTTCATCAGCTTGGTTTTCACCTGCATGCTTGGTCGCTAATAGACGTCTCTTTGTCTGTACTCGTAACGAGTCCTCAACGAAACTGAAGTTACTTCTTGCTGATAGAATTAAAATAGAGGATCTCGAAATTTTGGTTCTAGAAATTATTGGCGGCTCTGCAAGAGTGTGCAAAGCAACACAAGTCCTCAGCCCCCTCCTCTATTCAATCAATTCGTAGTCCTGACATTTGCAGGAGATAAGGTTGATATTTTGCTCGGAAATTTTCTTCCAACTCAACACTCGACTCATTTTGGAGTAACCACATCTGATTTCCCACCGAGAACAGAGGTTCTTCTGAGTAATAAACGCATAACCCCGTCACTGGTCTCGGATATTATTTCTAAATCAGAATTCCATAATGCAAGCGGAGGTGACAGGATCCGTATATATATATATATATATATATATATATATATATATATATATATATATACAATTCATCCTGGTGATCCGCTATGGTGAAACCTAGATATGTACTATCTGGATCATTAGGATTTATTTATTTTACTTTTGCTCTACTTAGTGTATTGAGCACTTTTTTGCTTTTTAACTTATTACTCGCTTTTTTTTGTACCAGAGATTTAAGTAATTGAACGATTTCTTTTTGTCCTGTTTGGAAGTTTCTGGTGCTTTCTTTTTTTTCGTTTTTCCTTGAATGCCAATTAATTTGAAAATTGTACTATCCAGGTCTTTTCACTCACCGAGTTTAAATAGATTTATCATATATATATATATATATATATATATATATATATATATATATATATATATATATATATATATATATATATGTGATAGATGCATGCATCTATATATATAGATAGATAGATAGATAGATATATATATATATATATATATATATATATATATATATAGATGCATGCAGAAAATGTGCAATAATTGAATAGGTATGATGTATATGATTGTTTAGAATGAGGAAATACCTACTCTCACTCCGTCATTCAGCAAAACATAGCAGTTCCGTTCTAATTTGGAAATATACGTGAAAGTGTTGTCTGGGGTCTTACAATAAAGTTAATTCGACGGGATGATGAAGAGTCTTAGCTGAAATTTCAAGTCAGTTCAGTTACATCTTAGAAGATAAATGTAAAGATATTCAGATTGATATTTAATGGACAGAATCAATTATAAACAGACGGGTACAGATAGGACGACTGATATCAACAGACTCAGGTATATAATACACATATTTGAATGGTGACATAGCTGAAACGGAGAGAGAGATTCAGTTAATAGGCACATCAGAACGGCGCCATAAGTATACATAGATAGATAGATAGATAGATAGATATCAATGTTTATACTCTTAGAAAAACAGTGAGGCGTAAAAAAGTTGTAGCCTATAGAAAGCGAATAAACACTGCCGGAAAAGGTTGTCTCTCTGCCCTGCGATAAATGAAATAAGCCTAGCTTTTATTTTATTTTCCAGCTGCCGAGAGAAAAAGGAGACAAATAAAAATATTTCCATACATACCTGGGTACTTGTGCGCAGTGAGACGACGACAGAAATCGCATTTATCTTGAAAATAATCGTTAGGAAAAAAATTTACAAAACTGAACCAAAAATACGACAAAGAGGCCTACATTTATTTACTTTACCGAATTTAAGAATGGAATGTGAACAAAAAGCGTTAGTCTCTCGAAATGGATCTATTTTGCAAACAAACATTGGAATATTTGGCAGAATTCTTAACGGTCAATTACCTGTAACGGTATATTCAGCATGCCTTGATTTTCTCAATGACAATTTCATGTTTACCTAAAAGTTTGAGAATTTTATTTATTTCGCAGCATTTTTTTTAATAAATTTTCGATATATTTATTTACTATTTTTCATCTGATACTATTTTTATTTCATTATTATTATTATTGTTATTATTATTATATTTGTTGTCGTTGCGGTTGTTTTTATTGTTGTTGCTTTACTATTATTTCATAGAATTTATATATTTGATAAGAATAAGAATATGATCATTGAATGTCCTCAGTTGTTTTTTTTATAGCTGAATGGCATATACTTTCTCAAGAATTACACGGACGAGCACACACACCCACACCCTTATAGACACACGCGCACACATGCAAGCATAGACTATAGCATATAATATATAGAGTGTTCAAATGACTGGGACCGATTTAAATAACGTGAAATACGTTTAAGCGTCTAATGGTTTTCTTTTTTTCTTTCAGATTCTACAACTTAAGTCTTTGGCAATTTCAGCCATGGAATATATATATATATATATATATATATATATATATATATATATATATATTATAGACATTTTTTATGTTTAACATTCTTTTTTTATAGATACAAGTATTTAAGTAAATGCTCTGTTTAAAATAAACAGTATTAAATAACATTTACCGGCCTGAAAGTTCGAGAAATTTTCATAGAAAATATTCGTCTTAATATATATATATATATATATATATATATATATATATATATATAGAGAGAGAGAGAGAGAGAGAGAGAGAAAGAGGTAATAATAAGTTTTATAATCCGTATGGATAGTCCCAAGAAGTATGTAATCCAGAAAGCACAATGTCAAACCAGCGCAAATATTAATTCATTTAATTAGAAAACCGACAAACTTAAGTGCCAATTGATTGCATTTTATTTCGCCAGGAAGGTGATTTTTCCTTGTTCCTCAGATCCAATACTTAACAGTAAAGGAGGGAATAAGAACCAGACATTGACCTATTTAATAATTCATCTCACAGGAAGAGAAAAATCGAAGAAAAGATATAAGCAAGCAAATTGTGAAAGCAGGGGTGGGAGGAAAACAGTGGGGAAAGAAGAAAAGGATGAATAAATTAACATATATAGACATATTGCGGTTAATTTAGAAAATACAGATTGATATATTTTGCAGTTAATGTTTGACATTCATTTAAAAATTTAAAAATTATTAACCAAATAAAATAGAAAATATATATATTGTAAATTCTCTTAAGTATTTTAATAAAAATAGATTTAAAATTATTCTATCTCTCCCTTCCTTCTTTAATTTAGACCATATCCATCGTCCTCCTCGTCCCGTTATCTCTATCTCCTTACATCAACTTAATACTACCCTTCAAAAGTTTATAAAAATAATACGTAAATTTTAAACCAATTTTTATTCTTGGAAATGTGATCTGAGGAACCAGGAATATATATATATATATATATATATATATATATATATATATATATATATATATATATATATATATACGTACACACACGCACACTGATATATGCATACACAGAAAAATATATACATTTTTTTTAATCATATCACCCCAAGTAAGGCGTTAGTGCTACTATTACGCAGGACCGTTACAGAGAGAGTAAGTGAGAGAAATGACAGATGGAAACCACCTCACCTTTTTGGGAAAGTGACTGAAATCGAAATGCCAAGTCAGGATCGATTACATTGCAGATACTTCTTTGGATTTTATCAAGAACCTGGAGTTGAATAGCAGGAATACAAGACCAGACCAATGTACGGTGGAAAAGTAGGTTGTAAATGTGGAATATGGATCCTGACGAGACAAATATTCTGGCATGTCGCAATTAATCAAATTTCAATGGAATTGTTACACTTCAATTTAGTTGAAAACATCAGCTAAAGAATGCGCATTGAGACGCTCCCCTGGGGTCGAGCATCATTTTGGTGGCCTAAATATTATCAAGCCATTTCCTGCATATGTTAACCAATGATTAGACGTGCTTTTCAAGAGCAGCGGCCAAGTTAACTTTGTCAGCTCTGACGGATTTGCTATTGAGACAGGATGAAATGGTAGAGCCATTTGCATAAAGGTTTACTTTGGAACATCAGGAATATTGATGAAAATCAGAAACGGCGTAAGACACCGGATAGAGCCACGGAGGGCACCCACGTTCGTGTAAAACGATCTAGCAGGGAGCTCGTTCAGAACAACCCTCATTTTATGATTGAATAGGAATAATTTCATTAAATCAAACAATAGTCCTGCAATAACTTAGCCCTGCTGATTAAGTAGAATCCCAACTCTGTCTTACATATGACATATAAATTCGTAAATACATATATACATATCCATATACAGACATATATGCAACCCCATATACATAAACCGATATGTATAAACCCATACCTATCTAAATTTACAAAAGATATAATTAAATATTGGCTTATTTTTAAATATGAGGATGATAGCGTGCACACATGTGTACGGGGTACGTAATTGTATGTAATATAAATATGTATATCGGCTTGCATATGCATATGTGAATTTATTTATTTATATATATATATATATATATATATATATATATATATATATGTGTGTGTGTGTGTGTGTGTGTGTGTGTGTGTGTGTGTGTGTGTGTGTGCGTGTGTGGCTATGTGTGGGTGTGTGTTTGGATATGTATGGAAATATGTATATGTGTTCGTAAATTTAGATAGGTCTGTCTATATATATATATATATATATATATATATATATATATATATATATATATATATAACGATTCATGCATATGGGGTTTATATATGTTTATATGTATATATGTATATGCGAGTTTATATATCTCATATGTAGGATACAGTTTATGAATATATATGCCTTTGATAATATCTAGTGGCACAGATTGAACTTCGCCGTTATTATCACGTGCTATATATATATATATATATATATATATATATATATATATATATATATATATATATATATATATTAATGTTCGTAAACACGTCAACGGTAGACAGGGCAAAAAGGAATCCATAGTTTTTGTCAGGGTGTAGTTCGTGACAGTTAAAATGCTTAAGCCTCAAATACTTAGACGAAAACGGTAGGAGGCTAATAGTGCGATATTTAGAGGGATCAAGATATTCTACAGAGTTCTTAAAAAAATAGATATATATATATCCAACAAGTTAGAAGGCAGGAATCATCAAGTCTGGAGTTTGGAGAGAATTGGAGCCAGCTCGGGAGCACATTTTGTATAGGACGACGGCTAAGATCCCGTGATTTCTCCATGCCTTATGGGATTCTAATTTAGAAATTATATCTGGGACCAGTGACGTGGTTATGCGCATATCAGTCAGTGGAACATCATTTATAGGTCTAAAGCTGGTGTGGTTAATCCAGATGAATCGTATGCTAAGTTGGAAGAGTATCTCCGAGCAAAGCACTCAAATTTATATTATGTAGATATGAGGACTTTGAATTGATTGAATAGAGCAGGAATGTAGAATTTGTTGTTGTTCTGAAAACTCTTGCAGAGCCAACAATAATCTCTAGAATCGAACTCGCGTTGTTTCATTCTATGATCAAACACAAACATCGCTTCATTTAGAACAACTTCGCATTCGTTACGAGTTGGGCAAAGATACGTCTGCTGCAAGCAGACATTCCGCTCTGGTACGGCCGGAAGTAGTCCTTGCTGTAAACTATAGGGACCGAGCATGTAAGTGAGGACCAATGAGATGAATGGAGTTTAAGTTGGTATTTCCTTGCTGGAATGAAAACATCGATGGTGACATTCAAAACATAGGGGACATCAGAAGCGCATTTTCTTTAACAAGGTCATTAAAAATTGGATTCCAATGGACATCACGCAGGGAATCACAGGAAGAGTCCAAATCTGCGCGTTGATAACAGAAAGATAATGTGTTGGAAGGAGGCTCTGTGTTGGCGGGGCGGGGCAGCGGAAAGAGATGTTTACAGAATCTATCGCATGTCAGTGTGGCCAAGACAAAAGTGCTGCGTAGTACGACAAGTTTAAGTTATAGAGGTAAAAAAGTGATCGAGAAGAAAAGAGTGTCCGCCAAGATTACTGGGGAAACGACTTGGGATGTCCGCCACCTGCGTGAGAGATCGTGTGATTGAGAATTAAGGTTTTGGATGCATACTGACAGTCCAAATAGCAGTGTGAAAACCTGAAAATGAAATCGTGCGTAAAAAAAATTCAGACACTTTCTTCCTCTAGGACAGAGGTTAGAAAGTTAGAGAGGGCGAAGATCATCTTGACTAAGTTGGAAAATGATCCTGGAATAATATGTTTGATCTTAATTTCAATACTTCATGATCTTCCGATGCTTCGCTATGATAAATTATTTATGAACATGTCATTTTCGATTATGAAAGATTTCATCACGATACTCCTCTTAAGATCTGAAAGTAATTAATTTTTTATTGTTCAAAATATAGGTCAATAGTCTTATAAAAGCCTCGGAGAATTCCATTAAGATATCTTAAATCATTTCTAAGACACACCGGTTGAAACTCTAATGTAACACATGGATAATTTTGATTTCAACATTGATATAATTGTATTGTCGCAACAAATATGTATTGTAAGCCACTACGAACTGGTGTTATCTTGCTCAACTTGTCGCCCATATTGTCTCATTTTGATCTTGCCGATATGACGTACATCTTCTAGATTTCTCCTTCTATATTTTGGATAGGAGTTATTCACTTCCTTTGATTAAAATGAAATATCCTTATCTAATAACCCTAGGAGTCATTCCTTTGTTCAAATTTAAATTTAATTTTCAAGAAAGGAAATAAACATCAGTAGCGGTTTTTGCCTCCCAGTAACCCATTTTGATCAAAGTGAAATATAATTATGCAAGTACACGGGGTAATATAATTTCAGACTATATTTAATCATAGGGGTCTATC